TTAAATTAACAAATATCTCAAAGCTTGTGTTTGTCGGGTAAACTAAAATCTTGTAGACAATAAAAAATAACAAAACATGAATAAATATGAGTATATAAAATTCGTTAAATAACAAATATTACATCTATGTTACATATAAGACTTTCGTGAGTATTCATTTAAATGAAACTATTTGTTTTTTTCGGATTACTATGAGTATTTCATTATTTTTAAAACGACATATTCCCAACGATTTCCCAACGATCCCAACGGTTACTTTGCAGCAAGCGTTATTACGGGCAGACGAGATGTGAGACTCACATAAAATAGTAGTAATCCGAAAAAAAAGATTAGTTTCATTTACATGTATGGCACACAAATAAAACATATTTATATCAATCTTGATTCAGAAACCAATTCTTTATTCACACTAATTAAATTGATTTACAGAATTATTTTTGCAATGCACTGTAGTAATATTGAAATAAATCTTCTTTTGCTTGTATTTTTAACATTTAAATCAGTTGTACGGTAATTTAAATCTTCTTTAAAATTTTATGTTTAATTAAACGAATTAAGGCCCATATAAAGGAAAAATTACATCCACCATTTTTATATGACGCGATCAATAAAGAATTTAATAACTTTTATACCATATAAGAGTTAAATACATGTGCTGTCATTTACATTCACTTGTTCTGTCTACTAAGAAAAGACATTTCGTACATTCATACTATGCGTCACCTTAAAATATTAAAAATTGTGTATGAACAGGATAATGTTGTACAAATATTATAAGTTTTTATATTCGGGGAATTACGTTTGTATGTAGAGTTGAATTTACCGACTCAAAGAAGGCCACTCCGGCAATTATAGCACTGTACCTTACCTGAGAAAGCTTCTGGGAAATTAGTTCATTAAAATTTTAAGTTGTGATTTGTTTCTTATTAAACTTCAAGTACATTGCTCCTTGCATATATTTTAATGAAAATATTTAAACATATGAACTATTAAAAAAATAATATAACGAGACACTCGGATATAATAGCTACTGGACTATTGTTAAGAATGGTTTAATAATAATTTATTAAAATTTTATAAAATAAAATAAACATGCTTTTAACATGCTTCATGGATACGCGTGAAGCACTTAATCAATTACTCCTAGGTAAAAAATATCTTGTACTACTTTGGAAAATTACTAATACTCCTCACTGTTAGACTGATAGTGACCAAAATAAAGCAAGTCAACTAGATTCAAATAAATCAAAACGTATCAAATCCATCCCGTTCATGAGCTAATAACAAGCTATGTATATCACTCGCTAAAGAACAGATCAGTTCATTCCTGGAACGTGCCTCGAAGGCAGCCTTGTAGATTCTTTTCAAATTTGTTTAGGTAGTGAGAGGAGCTTGGACAGTGGAGGTGAGCGTTTAACGCGCATTAGATAGGGTCCCTTAGGCCTCGGCCTCGAATCTCGCGGGTAGCGGGGCGGCAGCGGCGGCGGCACGGAAACGCATACTATTCTCCAAACTAGCGGGCAACGGGCACGGAGAAATGTATGCGTTTTCGTGCCGCCGCCGCTGCCGCCCCGCTACCCGCGAGATTCGAGGCCGAGGCCTTAGACCTACACCTGGGTCGCAAGTCCCAGTCACTGTTGAAGCTCCTCTCACTACAACGATGAACCCGACACCCGCACGATGAATACATTGAATGATGAGAAGTTTCGTCTCGTTTCGTCTCTTTAACCTCCGATATATTTTTATAGTCACGAGTTAATAAATAATTATACTTGAATATATGGAATTCATTTGTTAGAGGTTTTGTCTCTATTTAAGTGTTGTTAATTCAATAATTTATTGTTACTCAATCAATGTGCGGCTCTCAGTTTTCTAACTCATTGCGGACTTGAAGCACTGATAAAAGATTAATATTATCAGAACAGTTCTTATGAAGAGCATTGTTCCCACTAGCGACATATTCATTAATACTAAGCAAGGAAGACTTACAAACCATTAGTACTACCATCGATACAAATCATAAAAATATGTAAGTAGTTTTGTCAGCAACTAAGAGTGTTAAAATATGTACAATATATGAAATAAACATTATTTGTATTAAAATTATAATAAAATACATACAATTTGAATCAAAACTTTGTTTGATGACACTAATCATAATTAAAGTTTATTAACCGACCCTTGGAATACGCAAAAACTAATTTTTAGTTTTTATTTTGTATTTAGTATATATATGTGTCTTCGACTTGTGTTAAAATTTTCTTACAAAAACACATTTTTTATTGTTTGAAATCATTTATGATTCACATAATTTATTACTAACATTACTTTTAAATAAAATTTTAATATGTAGTAATACCGTAGCATAAAAATAAATTAAAAAAAACAGCACTTAAACATAATGATAAAATAAAACTTAATTTATTACCTTTCATTTTTATAATCATTAATATTAATATATTACAATGTTGTCTATTTAAAGGTTTTAAGGTTGTAGTTCACAATATAAAAAAAATAACAATCATTTGCCCTTAACCTTAAGTTAAACAAATAAGTGAATAATTAATGAATACTTAAAATTATGTTATTTGACAACACTTAAATACCTTTGGTTGCTCATAAAGTTTCGATAAAAAAAATGTCCTACTACAGCTCATAGGCTATTTCTCTAATGAATTAATGTGAGATTTAGTTATTCACTGACAGGCAGTTAGTTTTATATTTTACAATAAGTATGTTTCTGTCAAACGAGTCAAGTTCATAAATTCAACAAGTATATTTATAACAGTTCTCTATATTTTATAATATTCTTAACAACTGGTAAATTGCTTAATCAATGTTTATTTTATGAAGTACTCAATTAATAAATGTCGTAATTATTGCATTTTTATTACTTATAAATGTGATGAAGCGTACTGACGTAGGGCCAAATCGGCAACTTCACTGACATATTAAAATAAGCGGGACTGTTCCCATTTCTCCAGCAAAATGTGTCTTCCAATATCCAGAGGGTAGAGAATTTGGGGCCCTTCAACACATATTGTCTCTAGGTTGTATTAGACTTGAGAAACATTGTAGTGTAGACCTCTATTGTTAGTGAGGTACACTTTTAAAAAGAGGAAGAGCAGCCGCTGTAAAAACTCACTTTTATTTATAGGAGTTCCATATTTTTATAAGGTGTATAAAATTTTCAAATTAGGTTCGGTAGAGAGAGGAGCTTAGACAGTGGAGGAGAGCGTTTAACGCCCGTTAGATAAGAACCTCTTAGACCTACACCTGAGTCATTACAGGTTACACTTGGTATGCTTACCCGTGGTCACGGTTGCTGAAAAGTTACGGAAATGTAGGGAGAATGCAGTTTATTTAACTAATTAAATACATGAAGTAAATCAAATAAATATTAGTTTCATTTAAATGAATACTCGCGAAAGTCTAAGATCTCTTAGACCTGAAATAGCCAACAAAAAACGCCGGTCGGAGTATATCACTACCGGTACCTGATGAATCGGTTGGCATTGCTCTGACTATGTTTTCGCCGATTTTATGACTTCCCACAAATAAAACTTTTTTTTGTATTTATCATGATAGAACATAATTGTTTTTAACAAAAGAGAAATGGAATGTGAAAAATGTAAAATTAACATTTTTACGCCAAAAGAAGTCTGCATAGAAATAATAAAGTAATCAAATTTTTTGCAGGTAAATTTCGGAAGCATAAAATTGTGTTCTATCATTAGAAATTAATATTAAAAATGTCAATTATCATATCATTTCAGAAAAATAACTTAAACAATGTTTTATTTACAAATAAGAATCCGTAAAAATAGCAATATGAGCCTAACGAAAAATTCGATTTGATTTTGAGATGAAAAGTTGTCCTTTTAAAAGTCACGGTGATTATAAACCTTTACTTCTTGTTAATATTCCCTCTAATGTTTTATTTTTATTTAAATTAATTTGAAACTTAGCCATTATAAAACATGAACTATTTTATTTGTTTTACAACGTTTAATATTCTTTGATTTCAAAATCTTTATTATAAAGAATAATAATTATCTTAATAATATTATTTACAAGTTTAAATTATATCTACCATTATTGTATATATGTATATCGTGTTATATCAAGTGCTTATAAAACATTCAGTAAGTTCCTTAACAAGCATTTTTTTCTTCCGTGAATTTCATACTGCTTTTTTTGTATCGTCTTTTTTGTTTTGTTGATTTTTTTTGTTACTCAAGAGTTAAATCTGTTGTATATGCATAGTTATAATATTTAATAATACATATATTTAATTTAACTTACAAAATATGGAATATAAAATTCTTCCACTGCTTATAATCTCTGGAATATCACCTTGCTTCGAGACATTGAAAGCATTCTGTACATTTAAGTGATATCAGGATAAATCTAAAATGCCATGAATAGACTTTTGTAAGAAACCTCTTACAAACTGAATACTCTTATGATCACCGCAAAAACTAAAATCAGTTTCAAATTTGTTTTTAATTAGTTGAGTGTGGTGCCATAACAGTAGTGTAGTGTGTAGTTACCTTTGTTTACATGTAAGTTGTAAAATGTAAATACCTGTCATTACAGGTATCACACACATGTGTTAAAACAATGTACAAGTTTTTTTTAAATGTTTTTTCCCAAATATGATTTGTGAATATGCCGATGGTATTTCTAAAGCAATAAATAAATAACAAGAACTTCAATATATTCTAATCACTGGCCATCTGTCATGTCATAATCGGTGGTTTAATGTTCTGAGACCGGTTGTTCTGGAACACCTTGGACGACATCTGCCCAGACGAAATATGGAAGTCTATAATGATTATGAATCAAAAAAAATAACAATAATTTAAATATAACTCACATAATGTTTGCCTAAACGATGTTAAGTTTATGTCTCGGTTTTTATTCAACTGATTGGGTTAATTATTCATATTTTTTAAACATTTAGAGATATATTAAATAATGTATTTCATTGTTTTCAGGTGTCCCAGTCAATTGTAAAATAGAAATGAAACCCAAAAACACGAATTATAAACACGCCCAGGACAATAAAAGTAAGTTGTAACTGACACGACTAAAGAAAGGTTATCTTTACATAATATTAACGGCTTACTTAAAGTATATATCACGTTTTAAGTGAGTTCACTTATTTCATACTATTTTTCTATGATTCAGTATTATATAGCGAGGTCACTACAAAGAAATAAAGAAATTGATTCGTTTAAAAGATACGCTGATTTTGACATAATTCATCTTTTATAGTCCATTTCTATAGAAATTGGCAATGTTGTAAATAAATCAATTGAACACGATTACTCCGTTCTTACGTACAATTGAATGTCAGTCCTGATAATAATTACATCTCAATGAACCCACCAATGTTTTTAACAATCTTTTCACAAGTATACTACTGTATATGTATGTTCATTCTATAAAATTATTTTAAATTTTCAGTAAAATAACATATAAATAAAAAAAACATTTGTTATTGTTTATATCATATATAAACTTAATTTTTAGCAAATTATGTCCTGATGGCACTAGGAATACTTTTGGTAGTACTACCGATTGTAACTCTCTTCGTGGATCCAGTGCTTATAGCAATGAAATTCGTAAGTGTAAATCTTGACAGCCTCATTAAAATATCAAACATATATGTTAATATAATATGATTGTATATATGTACAGTTAACTCGTATGGCAGTCGGGTCGCAACTGTACACCATGCTGAGGGAGGAAGTTCCGGGCGCTTTTGTTAGTGTTTATATATTCAACATAACCAATGGAGAAGCCTTCGTCTCCGGCGAGGATTATAAGCTGAAAGTTGAACAAGTTGGACCTTTTACTTATCAGTAAGTACGCTTTTATATCTCTTTGTCGTGGTGGTTTAGAGATTAAAGGTCCGCCTCTCGTACATGAGGGCGCAGGTTTGATCCTGGCAAGTACCAATGTGATTTTTCCGAGTCATATGTACTTTCTTAGAGTATTTAGATACCACTGATACACGGTGAAGGAAAACATAATGAGAAAACGTGGACAATTATAATTTCATATTATAAATTTGAAATCGCCAACCCGTCGTGAGCAAACCTACTCCATGTGAGAAGAGGCCTTTGGTCAGTAGCGGGCTCTGATAGGCTGATGATGATGATGATCTCTTTACAATTATACCTAACATATAGAAATATGTGTGTATATTTAGTAATCAGTCATTTGGCTTTAATCTAATGTTTTAATTAGTTATCGTGAAATACCTAGGTTTTATCTTTTTTCTATACATTTCAAAAATGTTTTGATATAAAGTAATGACAAGATCTGAAGTAATTGGCAAGAAAGTCTGAAGTGGGAAATGAAATTATTCTTCTTAAAAGAAAAATGACAATGTTATGCGTAGTTGGTTGTGATAGTAGAGAGTTCTTTAAAGATAACTAGAGCGAATAAACCTTAGTGTAATAAGTTAAGAAGGCTGCGAAGAAAAATATGTTTGATATGATAAATATATATGTATTAATGAAAAACTTCAGTAGGTATATGAAAAAACAGGTATAATATGACCGTTTAGTATCATGCGCTCCACGGAGACTAGAAAAAAAACATATGTTATTTAAAAATTCAAATTATTATATAGCAAACTGATTATATGGTTATATAATTTTGTCTAAAAAAATAACAGCAGTATTTAATAAGTGTGTGAAGGAAAAATAAGTCATAGAAATTAAAAGCAAGAAACTCATATAAATGTTAATTTAAACAGCGCACAAGAGAGCGAACTGTACACTAAATATAAATATTCATATTATAGACTCGTGGCAAAAAGACTGCACGGTCGTTATATTTATATTTTATTTTGAATTGATTTCTTTTTAAATTGGAGGGCAACTTAAATACCTCATCCCTTTTTAAACTACAGTGGCTACAATTAATTTACATTTAAAATGACAAAATATTGAATGAAAAATTCATCTATAACACCAGGATTTGAAAGTAGCTGGAACGTAACATTTTGCAAGCTACAGATTCAAATCCTGCTAGTGTCGATGATTTTTTGATTCAAAATTATTTTAATTAAATTTTAATTCAAAGAACATGACTGCAATGTTACAATAGGTTCATATAATCACTATCACTGAGTCTCTCATTAAATAGAACATCGAACTCAGTGTCAAAACTCACATTTACCCTTTTTGGGACTGTAGCTGTAATTCTCACATTGATCAGACGAAGCGTATGATCATGTAAAGGGTGTTAGTAGATATAATTATATTATTTAGTTAGTAAATATAATTCGTTATAAATTGACAAATAATTAAATAAGATGTGTGAGAGAGCCGGTTGCCCTTTCCCTTTTCCCAGACCTTCCTTTACCCTCCCTTTCCCACCTTTTTCCCAATTAGGGCGGCAATACATCCGCAAATATCTCTTTAGCATAAAAAATAATCTTCAGAGTGGTGTCTATATTTTCGGAATATATAACCTAACTTTTATTTGCAAGCCGGTAATGCAAGTATTGATGTTATGTGTTGGCTCAAATATTACGTAAGCTAAAGATCAAGTCAAATGTTACTTGCGTTTAGCAGACGAGAAATTGTTATACTAAAATACACTTTCTTTCAGTTGATGTCGACCTAAGTTACTCCAAGAAAAACAGTTATTTAAAAACATGAACGAATATTATTTCCGCGCCTTGGTACACAAAGAAAATTATGTACTTCAATATATGTTTTATATTTCCTCAGGGAGTACCATAAAAATGAAGGCTTTGAATTGGATGAGGAAGCCGGAGTGATGCGTTACACCCCCCTTGCCACCGCACAGTTCATTCCAGAACAATCTATCGCCGATCCACGACAAGTCAACATTACTATTATCAATACTGTGATGCTTGTACGTACCTAAATAATTAGTCCTATAATGAACTGGCCTGGTATAGTAGGTACTATGCGACATCTCGCTACCAGTTGTGTTGTAAATATTACGTTTTTTGAGTACTTATTATAAGAAACTCGTATCGACATGAAATGCTTAGTCTTCGTTTAACGGAACTTATGATTAACGAGATTCGCATATGTTTTTATTTCCAAATTTAAAGAGAGACTTACGAGGAATAAAATTTTCAAACGATAAAGAGTTGCAAGCGGCCGCATTCGGTTATTTTGAGTATAAAAGTTGTCATTATTTTTATAAAAGTTTAGAGATGTTAATTCACATATGTCAGATATGTGTTAGTATTCATAGTGATTTTATGAAAGAATAAAATTGGATTTCTTCCATATCTTTCATTATTTCATAGTTAGGCCAATTCATTGTGTGACCGTGTATATTAAAAAAATATAAAGTATATTGTGTAGTAAATATACTTATTACTTATTTGTTTTCCAGGCACTAGCATCTATGTTAAGTTCCTATTCTGTATTTGGACAATCTGGCTACAATATGTTAATAAATCAACTGCAGTCGAAACCCTTCCTCAACATTGATGTGGACAGTTATTTTTGGGGGTATGAAGACCCACTAATTGCTTTAGGCCATACCCTTATGCCAGGATGGATTACCTTCCAAAGATTGGGTATTTTAGATAGGGTAAACATATTTTGTGATAAAATACGAGCATTGAAACCTATCCGACGACACTTCACTCATTATAATAAGTTCCTGGGATTGATTATTATTAATGCTTACCGTATTTACAGCTATACGACCCATCTGCCGTGCCAAGACTAGAACTTGGAATCTATGACGAGGATAAGTTGAATATAAGGACTGTAAACGGATGTCCCGGCCTCAAGGTATGGCAATACGAAAATCCTTCCAAACGGTTAGTCATACGATTCAGAAATAGATACAAAACATAGTTCATAATAAATATATATCTTTTTGCTCACAGTTCTAGATGCAATACGCTAACTGACGCCTACGAGGGCTTTGCTTTCCCCGCGGGACTAACTCCTGACAGAGCTCTCAGACTATATCGTAATGTTTTCTGTCGGATGCTCGACCTGGTTTACGTTGAAACTAAGGTCTCGGACTTGGTTCCTGAAATATTCGTATACGAAATCAGAAACGATAGTTTTGCTATTAACGCGGAAAGCAACTGTCTCTGTGGCGAATATGAGTGCATCGAAGGCGTTTCAAGTGCAGCGCCTTGCTTGTTCGGTACAGACATTATAAACATTATTGTTAGTTGATTGATAATAGATTGGAAGATTTATTAAAATCTAAATTATGTTACAGGTTTTGATCTTGCGTTATCATTCGGACATTTTTGGAATGCTGATCCCAAAGTGTATGAACGTATTGATGGAATGCGTCCCGATGGAAAGGAACATGGTAGCGAGTTCCTGGTTGATCCGGTAAGATGTATCTTTAGGCACAAACCACTCATTATCTCCTTAAAAAAACTCTTCAACATAGAAACTTATTTATAACTGTTTAAGCTTCATTCATTCTTTTACAGATTAGTGGTGCGGTGTTAGATACGAGGTTCACACTTCAATTAAACTTGATTGTTAGAGACGTGAGGTACAACAGTTTAACTAAACCATTCAGTGAAATGGTGATACCCATGGCCTATTTAAAGATTGTAAGTTTTAGATACTAAGACATTATTTTTATTTTTAACTGAAATAACTGAATAAATGATTAACTAACATGAATGTTTCCAGGTCCAACCACCATTACCAGACGAGGCAAAAAATTTATTCAGATTTATGTACCTAGTATTTCCTAATATTATCCTCGGGCTGCAGATCATTACATTCATAATAGGTTTTACAATGATCGTGTACACAGTCAGAAAGCTTTATTGGAAGGTTGTTTTAACAAAAGGTATTGATTTCATGGATGCAAGTAATGAGAATAGAGTTCATGTACCACATTCAGAAACACCTCTCGTAGAAGAAAAAACTTTAGATGAAACAGAATACCGATTGGACACGAGATAGAATATGCAATATTTTGATATTATTATACTTTAAGGCACTGTTTAAGTGTTAATATAAACCACTCTGGTAATTAACTTCGGAAAAAAATGTACATATAATTAAACAATGTAGTTGATATAATCTAGTTCATTTATAACGATATAATTTAGAAAAATGTAAATATATAATTTTTAATACAATTTACTGCCTTTCATTATAATTTTAATGAATGTACTTACTGCATATAATTTCAAAATCATTTTACCTGTAAGCGACGCTTCATACGTGAACGCCTGTAAGATCTGTTTCCGAAAACACTAAAAAAATTTACGTTTCCTTCCGTTCAAAATTATTTATGTATAATGAATTATAAAAAATACTGTTCGCTGTGGAGCTAATAAAAAACGATGGCAAAAAACGGGAGAAATTCAACTTTAAATAAAACAAATTTTTAATACAGACATTTTATGAATAGCAACATGAAATTGACACAGATTGTAAGCTGATGGTACCAGCCTGGACACGCCACCGACCGCCTCACTAACAGCGGTTGAAATAACATTTAGATAGGATGTATACAAGTTTAACTTCAAGTATAATATGATTATTATATACGCTAAGTCAGGATTATAATCCCATTGTAACATTTATACTAACACGCATATAAACTCTCAGAGGACACTGTAGAGGACATTAGTCATGAGTCCAGTCATTATAATAGCTCTACAACCCCACAACGATTACCTAACATCAACAAGAAATATAATAAAAACACTAGATTCTTTGGCAGAACAAAAAGAACACGTAAGCTTGGCTCATCTACAAACTATAAAGATTTCACAACTATAACATGGACTACATCCTAGTGATATGTGTTATATATGATTGTAGAATATTACTAAACAATTAGCTAATTAAACACATTATATATCTTCTTCCTGGCAATTCCCCAGCTTTAGCCAGGGTCTGCCTTATATATATTCTTATGTATCTAAGTGTATATTCTAAGGTACACGTTGATATGTGCCGTTCCCTTACAAACTATCTTAATATTATTTGATATGTTTTTGATATTCTCGGTCATGTGCGACATGACGTCTTGATATGTATACGTTACCTTACACTACACATACACTAACAAGGAATTACTAGAAATATACAGTAACTATGTAAAGTTACAAGCAGCGCTCTCAGGTAAATCTTCAATATATATTAAAATTATAAATATTTTTCTTTTGTAAAACAAGGTATATCAATAAGTCGAAAATTTTATACATATATACCTTGCAAAAATTCTACGAGAACTTTAAAAATTCCATCATTAACAACATATTCTATGATAGTATAAGTATATAATATATATAGAGCAAATAACTAACATTATAATATGGAAATACATATAGTATGTATTGCAAAACATCACAATTTCCAAATGTGGACATCATAAGCCACTTTTTATACATATTTAAATCAAACATTTTGAATGTTGGTAACATAATCTAACAAGAAATCTTCCCACAATTAACATCATAATAAATTTTAAATCATCATTGAGACATAAGACTTTCGTCACGGCAATATATATTATATAGATACATATAGAATAACAATTAGAATATACTGTGAAATGTCACTCGTTATACAATTATACATTTTAATGTATAATAGATAAAGTGTACACTTAATGTAAAACATATAAGTTTGTGTACACTTAAAATATCCATTCTACATACGTTTTCTCCAAATATATATAAATTCATAAATATAAACGCTACTAAGTCAATATCAAGATAATTTTATAATTCATTAAATTCAGACTAACATTGATATGTTTTAGTTTCTTAATTATATTTTTCTAAGTGTAATGTCGATAATATTACGTGCATTTATAAATTTTCTTTAAACATTTCATAGCACTTTCTTTTCTAATATAGTTTCATATAACATTAATATAAAATATATAAATAATAGATAAGTAATCTTCGTTCCAGAGTTAACCTTCAGGTTTCTTATTCTGGAACATGAGTTTCATGGAGTCGAGAGCTTCTTCCAAAGCTTGGCGGAAGGCTTCAGTGTTAGTGACACTCGAGGAGGTGAAAGAAGAGATGCAGAAGATGACGGAGTCACGTTTGGGGTTGTAGCTGCAACCATAGCCGTCTGGAACGACCGCGCCGTAACCCATGAACGTACCCTCGGTGGTTGTCGCCACCTGTATGATATAATGAGTTTTTAACAATCTTTTTTTGTTTTTGCTGACAATTGCTGCCGACCTAACGCTTTCACGACGTCAACGAAAATTTGGATGAGTATCATTATACATATTTACAAATATTAATATCAACAAATTTGCTCCCCTCCCAACAAACTCCCCTATTCCTTATAGCCTACCTGACTGGTGGACAGCTTGAATTCTATCATCCTATTGTATGTGTTATCAGTGAACATATCAGGCAGATGTCCCAGCGTCTCCCGCGCAGCCTCGCGTAGACCCAGCAGGTGATTGTCAATACCGCGACCTTGGATATTGGCTTCCATTATAGCCGTCTGTTTACGAGTCGCTTCTTCAAACAATTCGAGCTTCTTTTGTTCCTAATAAAATAAAGATTACATAACAATATTAATATCCTTTTGAAACTTATTAAGGATTAAAAGGGTTGACTACATATCAAAACAAGATACGAAATTCATCTGACATAGCAATTTGAAATCTAACTTCATATATGTACATAATATGTAAAGTAGCTTTAACTCACTCCATACAAGTTAAAGGAGACCTTCCTTCCCTCGTCTTCTTGGGACATATCGGTGGAGGACATGGCGGCGGCCCAGGATAATGCTGCGGAGTGAGCACTGCGAATATTGTCGACCCGGCCGTTGTGGAAGCGACGGAGTGACGCTGATTCATATGTGGATACCAAGTAACCATACATCCTGGAATGTTTGAATGGTGATATAAAATCCGTCAACGTTATTTATTTTCATTTTTTTTTAATTTATTTATTGAGAAACAAACAGCATATACATATCATAGTAGTTTTCACATATTAAAAATAATTACATAAGCCAACAAAGTTTCCACTTTTGCAGTTTCATGGAGTGAACATAAAAAAAAATACTTATAATTATCAGAATTTAAACATTTTACAATTCAAAGTGTATTTAAGTATAAGAAAGAAAAACAAACATCTTAAATGTAATAACTATATGAGCTTTTTCAAAAAACTAGAATACTTTTAAAAAACTATCATTAAAAATATCAACACAGTTAAACAATGTGCTATAGTTAGTACAGGCTCTTATGAGAAAACGATTTTTTGCATAATTTCTTTTACATAATGAGACAGGGAAGATATGTTTACGTCGTATGGAAGAATTAGAACACTTATACATTCGAAATGAGAACAAATGTTTTTTTACATAAATATAAGTCTTACTTGTAATAGGCATACTGCAATGCAAGCTGAATATAAACGTCGGGGCTGGTGCGGCAACTCTTCATGAACTCACGGCCATAGCCACGGTACGTGTACACCTTCAGGTCAAGGTCCAATATCGCCCTGTGGAAATATAAGCACTTATAGATTTTTCATCCTATAAAAATGAGTAATTACATCATAGTTGCCCACAGAAGGCGAAATCTTTTTTACTTGGACCCTAGTGTCTATTTTTTTTATGTCAAAAGGGCTTTATAAGGAATGTTGCAGATGCCGATGTAGGGAAAAGGTAGGAGAATTAAATACTACTTCACGCCCATCTTCTATAAGAGGGTAGTGCTTCCCCGGTCGAGCTGTAGTAACTTGACCACAGCTAGGTTCTGCCACCTTTCAAATTTTAGTATAAAACATTGAACTATATTCTCACCGGTCAAACTCCCTCCCAGCTTGTTCTATGGTTCTTATTAGATCTCCATTTAATTTCCACTTCATAGCGACAGGGGCAGGTAAGAGAGCGGGCGGCGGTGCTGGTCGTGGCGCGACGTCAGCCCTAGCTAGTGCACGCTCTGCTAGGCGTATGACTGCAACGCCCTCTGCCGGACTATGTTCGTAGCACATACCCACGGTACCATCCGACGATATTATCAGCTGGAAAAAAATTAAATACATCTTAAAAATCTTCCAAATTATGCATATTTTGTCACGATTTATTTTATGATAGATAAGGCGCGGTCAAATATACGTTTATTTTTATATTTATACAAGGTTTTGTATACAGTTTTTCTTTATTTTTATATATGGTAGAAATGTATATAGTATATGTTTTTAAAGTTCGTGACCAGTGATAGAATAAAATAAATCAAACAGCTAACTCTAACTATACACTTTATGTAACGTATATCCCTGAACGTACCTGCACAGTCTTATCAAACCACCTGTTGGCAGAGTGATAGTTGGTTCCTCCACCGTGCATCGCCCTCAGCAGAGCGTTGGTATCATCATCCAAGTCAGAGCGGTCACCGCCAGCCTCGTCCACACACAACACGCACAGAGAACGAGATATCAGCTCCAGGTATGCACGATTCGTTTCTTCTGCAAGATAATTAAATGACTTAGTAAGGTTTTAAGTCAATATCAATTTTACAGCGTGGTTATGATGGTACGAAACTAAATCAAGAGACATCCAATATTAATATCTAATTAATTATAGACCACCAAATCGAGGGTGACGCTCAAATAAAAAATAAATTTAAAAAAAAACTACATATAGCACCGAAATAAAAAAATGACTGCATTTGCATACATGACAGTGTTACTTATATGAGCATTATTGGTTTGAGAGATTGGAGGTTGATACCTATTGGCAAGGCCGTTTACTGTGCAAGTACATAGTTCAAGACCATACAACTCCTGGTCTATGCAAAAGGCTGATGATGAGATGACTTTTTGTATAAAATAAAAATGTATCTGTTAGTTTTGGTACATTTATAATCTATAGGGGACATCACAAGTTCGATGTCCCATTACTACTTGCGCGCGCGCACTGATCAGTCGCCTTTTTTAGCCTCCCGGTTAGAAGAGTGATATGGTGTGTAAAGCGTCTCTCTTAAGGTAAAATATGAAATAGTGGGTAAAAAACACTATAATAATAATAATATAAGTGGTTTTCCTACTAAAAGTTAACAGTGTTAATATTTCCAAAAGCTATTGAGAATATCAGGCAAATTAAAAAAAACTATTAATACAAATTCTAACGTGTCACAATTTTTTTCACAGATAAATGTTTACTAACTAAATAGAGTTTTTACTACAATTATTCACATTATCATATCCATCGTCTAGAGCTTCTGGAGTGTATATTTTAGACGTGATATGGTCACAAGACGACAAAAATATTATACTGAACTTATTAATGTACATAGTTTATTACTCTTTTTTATGTCATTCAGTTGCTTCTATATACGCAATTCTTCTTACCTTTCACTAGTTGTTCTCTCGCCCTTGCCCATTGATCCCTGTTCATAGCTGTGAGGAGTCCAATTCTTGGAGCGGGTGGTGCGCCGGCCGCGTCCACCATGGCATGCAAGATCTGAGCTTGGATTTCACCAGGAGTCAGGCGCCCGCGGTCTGCTGCTTTCACTGGTATTGGATAGAACTGGAAAGAAATACCTTAACTAAAACAGCTAAGTAATAATTTGAAGTAATATAAAATAATCGAATTGTATTAATAAGAACTAATATTGCTATATACGAATTATATCTTCAACGATATGGTAAGAAAAGGTCATTGAGATTTCATTTGACTTAATTTAAAGTAGTTACCCGAGATTATTCGTAATACGAAAATAATATAAGAAGTGGGTATAAAAATAAAAATTTGACAAGGTGCTGAGATACAATTCTTAAATTACTCATTAATTATAAAATGGAAGTGTCTGTATGTGATTTCTAATACACAGCTTGTCAGTAAAGGCACATGAAGGTAAGAAAGATACCTACATCAAAAATTATTCTTTATATTTATTTGTTTGTTTGTCGTGGTAAATCTTTCGAATCGAAGCGACTATTTGAATGCTGTTTCTTTCAATTATAGGCTGATTGTACATCAAGTCCAGAAATCCAATATCACCAAGTCAGGAACTAACAAAAGGATCTTCGAGAAATTGAATTAATTTACATAAAGATGACGATTACCTCCAAAGAGGTTTACAGAGCAGACGAAACCGCCAGCAAAAGTAAGTTCGAGAAATATACACGGTCTAAACTGTTTATATTTTATTTAATATTAAACAATAACAAAGCTCACAATGATATATTGTTTTTATTACGAGCTTTCATAGTTAATACGATTTAGTTGTAAAATGACAAAGTTTAAGATTATAATCCACGAGGAATAGGTCGGGGAACCGAGTTCTGAGCCAAATATTAAATTACAGTGAATCCCTTAACGATGATAACGTCCAAGACGAGAGGCGGAGTGTTACAGCAGCTTAAATAAATCTCATTATGATCCTGTTAGTAGACTACAGAAGAGAACACTCAGATGAAATGTGCTTTTAATTCAGTTAAAAAGTGAGTTCATTTAGAATCGGATGACTTTCAGTTTGTTTCTTATGTTGACTTAACAGTTGAATTAAGATTTGTAACATAACTTGTATCCTTACTTATATTGTTATTATGGAAATAACTGTTTTTTTTCAATAAGTTAAATAGTTTACAATGGAACCAAGTTTTTTTGTTTTTATATAATAACACGTTTGTATTACTTACATAGTTACGGCAAGCAACAATAATCAGCTCCTCACATTCAGCGGGATCGTCAGGTCTTGGTGGCAGCTCGAGGCGATCTTTACCCACTTCAGGAATACGGCACACTCCAAGCAGACGATAGAACTGCTCCATACATAGAGGTTGGCCTTTCTCTCTACTAGTCGCTCTTTCTTGTGGTAGCTCACCTCTAAATGGTAAAGTAAGGTATTTTAGATTGAAAATGATTTCAAAATCAATTCAAATATTTGAAGTAACAATGTGTTATTCTATTTCTTTAATTTACGTTTTACAGGACGTACCTGTCAAGCATTTCTTTATAGTCCAGGAGATCGTCGACATAGAGCGCGGCCAGATCAGCGACCTCGTCTATTTTGGCGAACTGCTTCCGAGGAAACACCATTCCTGGGTTGGAGTTAATGGGAACCGGGAGACGGATCTTGAGGTACATATCATCCAGCCACCAGTCTGTTACCTACATGAAGGGTGATATTCAAGACAATGAGAAGAGGAGAATATAATAGGTTACCTTAATCATTTCATAAACATGATAATAAATTATACTGCGATTTATTGATAAGTAAAAAAACTTTTAGGTATGATATTTTATTACAAAACTTAAAAATAAAGATAAGGCACGGTAGGACTAAGAAAAAAAATGGTCTTCCTCTGGCGTCGAGTTCTTTTCGGAGTAACAGCGGTCGTTGTAAGTGTTCCTCCATACCAACCGCTTTTTCTATAATAGTACAATGGATCTTCATAGCGCATGAAGTCTGTGGAATCTCTGATGACTTTATACATGGACAATGGTGTGTTCTCAATAACATCCGTGTTAAACAGATAGTTTCTTATAGAATCAATACGGTCTCTCAGAAATTTTGGTTTTGTTTTTGGAGGTAGATAAGCTGGTCTTTCGATGACATGTTTAACATTTTCCTTTGGTACAGGAGGCGGCATCATGTCTCTGACGTAGTTAATCTTTTGTCTCAATGTGATGGCGTCGCTCTGATGGTGCGGCTGAAATTGTTCTCTATAGAAATCATCGTTATTTACTAACAGCGGTTTAGGTCTGAAGAACTTATCTCTTAAATTGTAACCATCGATTTGATCAAACATCGGACGTATAACATATTGTCGTGGCTTCACTGTCACTGGTTTTTCCAATTGAGCTTTAGAGTTGTGTTGGAATTGATTCTCATAATAATTGTGATTCGGTGCTGGTCTCCTAAGAGAGAAGAAGTCCTCGGTGTTCATAGTAACTATTTGTTTTTCTTTATTCGGTAAATATATTCGTCTCATTACTTTCCTCTGTACATTCGTTGGAAGTTTTTTGATTGGATAGAGATTGGTTTTTTCAAAAGGATTTAACAATATATACTCATTTGATGTGATTGTTTTTATTTTCGGCTTGAACTGAAGTTTAGCAGGAATTGTCGTTAGTTCAAGTGTTCCTTTATTAGAATTAAATTTTGTGTGAACAACTATATTTAGATGATTATAATTTGTGTTGGTGTCAGGAGACGTGACCTTCAGTATGTTTAATGTTGTTTTATTTTTGTTTATATTCTCTAAAGGATGATAATTATTTTTCTGAGTGACATCGAGATGTGCTTGTGTTGGTTTGTACGTATTGTATTTTACTGTTTTTCTTTTCTTGTGCCGTCTCCCGGTTTTATCAAGTTTGTAATTATTCTTTATATATACATTTTGGTATGTCAGTGTGTTAATATGAAGGTTATTGTTGATTTGTATTTTAACATTGTCTATGTCTTTAGACTTATTTCCATACAACCTTGTATTTATTACCACGCTGCCATTTAAAGGAATTATTTTATTTCCAACGTTCAATGTTGTCTTTGCTATATTGATTTGAGACAATGAAACTTTCTTTTCTATATTTTTTTCTGTTTCTTTTGATATTAATGACCTTGTAGTCTGTTCATTTTCTCGCGATATTAATATCGATTCAGATGTTATTTTTCGACTAATATTTAATTGAATATAATTTCTTTCTGTATTATTGTACTCATGTTTGTAAGAAGTCACATTTTTATACTTAGTTTGTGTATCAAAATCACTATGCTGAACTAGGTCAGTATTAAGCTTAGATTTATTAAAAAGTAATAGAGGTTCTCTTAATAAAGTAGTAGTTGATAAAATATTCTCTAAAAGTTTTGTAGACCATTTTTGGGGTGAATTTGACACTAGTTTGTAATCGTTCATTCTTTTATTTTCAGTTAATGATGATTGATAGTTCCCTGTCACGGAAATGTTTTGTGAATATTTTTTCTCCTTTGTAGTATATTTTGCTACGGTGTTTTTTAATTGTTTCTGACTTGCATTCTCAGTGGTATGTTTTAAGTTATTATCAATGTGCAACGTTTTCAAATTGTAAGAACCATAATCTGTCGTGTAAGGTGTAAATGTTAAAAAGTACAATTCCTTATTATTTTCAAAAGTTTTGTTATTATATTTGAATTTTAACAAATCCAGCGTTTTATTTGATATGTTACTAGTATTACTATTTTTTGTTAAGGATTCTTTCATTTCTTTAAATTTTACAGTTGATTGTTTAAGGTACTTATCAGGAATATTGGAAGTCATCATTGTATGTTTTTTATCCACAGTGACAAAGTTGTTTTTAAAAGCTTTAGTAGATGTATTTTCGGAAATTATCATGGCTTTTAATTGATCTATTAGGTTTCTTCTACTATAATTGTCAAGGCTTGAATTCATGGACTCTGTGCTTTTTACAATATAATGACTATTTTTAATATCAGTATTTATTGAATAAGGATATGTTAGTGTAATTTCTGTTATCCTTTTAGACTGATTTTGAAAATTATAACTTTTCTCTGAAGTACTTGTGTTCTCCATTAATTTCAATGTAGTTGACGTATTTTTTTCTCCTCGTCCAATATTTTTTATCACAGTCGTATTGAAAACTGAACCTGTAGTACTGCCATCTGATTTAAAAAATATTTCCCTTCCAATATATTTTTGTTTATCAATTTTTAAAGCTTTCTTTACATTGTTAAAAGTATTATCAAAAATACTAGTACTGGATGGAAGAAAATTTAAATCTTCTTTTGATTTTGCTGTAATGTATTTTTTTGTTATTTGTTTTTCTATAGACCTCTCTTTATCCCATTGTATGAAACTACTTTGATTTTCATTTGGAGAATATTTATTTTGAAGTGGCCTTATAGTAGTTATACTTGTAGTTGAAATGGCTAGACTACTTGTAACTTGCTCATTTAAGTCTAGACTAGTTGTAGAAAAATTGTTTTTTAACAATGACTTCGGCGAAATGGTTGTTGCAAATTTAGTATTCTTTATAATTGTTGAACTATTGTACAAAATATTTATCGTTTTATTATTAACTAGGTCACTTCTAGTTGGTAAGATGTTATAGGAATTGTTTTTAGCTTTCAACTTCATTTCTTTTTTGACAGTATCGACCGGGGTGGTGTGATTAAAGCTTGCAGAGTAATACTTTTGTGTAGCTTTCTTATGGAACACGGATCTAGTTCTTTTGATGTACATTACAACAGTAGCGTTTGGTATTTTATATCCTCCATCTTGATAACTCTTCACTGTATTAAAATTTGACTTGTTATTTTGTCTTTCAAATGACTGTTTTGAAGTGGTATAATTTTGGTTGTCCTTCGTAAAAAACCCTTTAGTTTTAGTAGTAGTAGATATATTCTCGGAAATTATCTTGGCTTTAAATTGATCTATTAGGTTTCTTCTACTATAATTCTCAAGGCTTGAATTCATGGACTCTGTGCTTTTTACAATATAATGAGTATTTTTGATATCAGTATTTATTGAATAAGGATTTGTTAGTGTAATTTCTGTTATCCTTTTAGACTGATTTTGAAAGTTATAACTTTTCTCTGATGTACTCTGAATGTTCTTCATCAATTTTAATGAAGTTGACGTATTTTTTTCCTGTCCTCCAATATATTTTATAACAGTCGTATTGAAATCTGAACCTGTAGTACTGCCGTCTGATTCAAAAAATATTTCCCTTCCAATATATTTTTGTTTATCAATTTTTAAAGCTTTCTTAACATTCTTATATGTATTATTAAAAATAATACTAGTACTGGACGGTAGAAGTTTGAAGTCTTCTTTTGATTTTGTTGTAATGTATTTTTTTCGTATTTGTTTTTCTGTAGACCTGTTTTTATCCCATTGTATGAAACTGCTTTGATTTTCATTTGGAGGATATTTATTTTGAAGTGGCCTTATAGTAGTTAAACTTGTAGTTGAAAAGGCTAGACTACTTGTAACTTGCTCATTTAAGTCTAGACTACTTGTAGAAAAATGATTTTTTAACAATGACTTCGACGAAATGTTTGTTGCAAATTTAGTATTCTTTATAATTGTTGAACTATTGTACAAAATATTTATCGTTTTATTGGTAACTAGGTCACTTCTAATTTTTAAGATGTTATGAGAATCGTTTATAGCGTTCAACTTTATTTCTTTTTTGACAGTATCGACCGGGGTGGTGTGATTAAAGTTTGCAGAGTAATACTTTTGTGTAGCTTTCTTATGGAACACGGATGTAGTTCTTTTGATGTACATTACAACAGTAGCGTTTGGTATTTTATACTCTTCATCTTGATAACTCTTCACTGTATTAAAATTTGACTTGTTATTTTGTCTTTCAAATGGCTGTTTTGAAGTGGTATAATTTTGGTTATCCTTCGTTAAAAATCCTTTAACTTTTTTAGTCGTATAAGAAAAACTGTTGGTAAATGATTTTATATTTTTGTCTAATTTTGTGATGTTATCTATAATTTCAGACGTATTACTTGTATAAAATCCTTGTGTATTCCAATTCAACGTAGTATCTGTGTTGTGGTTCATGGTTTTTGTATTCAGCGATGTAGGTATTGACTGAGAAGATATCCAATTTGAATGTGTTAGGTCATCTTGTAATTTATAAGAAGTAAAATTTCTATCACGACTAGTACTTGCAAGAGTTTGAAACTTAATAGTTGAATGTGGAGAAGTGGTTTTCTGTTCTAAAGGTTTTTCTACAAATATCGGATTACTAGAAATATTTTTTGGTGTTTTTATATATTGAAACATATCTGTTGGAGTTAAATTAACTTCTGGATATTTCGATAAAGAATATTCCGTTGTTGGAATATTTTGATTAATATTAAATCTTCTATAGTTTTCTATACTTCTTTTCGTATATGTTTCTGAAGTATATTGTTTCACTGACGATGGCTCTTCTCTGTACTGAAATGCCAGTGTAGTTGTTGTTTTTGTATCGTTAACAGACTGTTTTTGTTGTTTTATCTCCCAAATCATATTTTTCGTAACATTGGAAATAGCTTTATCAAATTCAATTTTCCTATTTTCATTACTCTTGTAAGACTCCACTGTGCTATTCTGTTTCATTTTATTGTTAGATCTCATAGAATACTTTGTCGTTATCGTTGGAAATTTTGGAATATGTGAAATTTCACTTCCATTGAAAGTTTTATTTGGAAAATAAAATACAAATTGAGTTATTGTCAAAGAAGGAGGATTAGTTATATTTTCTGAACTAATAAAGTTACTTTCATTTATTGTAATTGTATTTTTTTTTAAACAAGACTCTGAAGTCGTTGATTGCTTGCTTTCTTTTATTAACATATTGTCTGTGGGACCTTTCAAACTTGTATATTGGACAGGCCTTAAATGATTTGCATTGGTACTTTTTATTCCAGATTTAGACGTAGAAGTTAATGAAGTATTTGAAGTAATTAAATGATTTTGTGAGTAAGTCATTGTTGTAAAATTAGTTTTTGTTACAGATATTTGTGTGGTAGGTTGTATAGTAGTATAAAAACTCTTATTATTAGTATCGTTTCTATATGATTCGATGTCTTTAATTCCTTCGTATGTATAAGTCTCCATGACACTTGTGCTGTTCAGCAAATTATCTTGATTTTCAGATTCATTATAATTCATGAGATCGAAAGGTTTAGTTATTTTTATAATCGTCGTGTCACTTTGTAACTGATTTATTTTATTTGATTTATTATTATCGTTTGTTATTTTCGACGGTAAAAATATGGCACTGTCTGTCCGTCTTCGTTTAATATCTTTTATGTGGGACGGTATTGTCTGTGACAAAGGTGATAAGAAATCGTTACTTTTTAACACATTCTGACTTACTTTTTCTTTTTCAACGTCTCTAAATACTTTTGATAAAGTGTTTTTATATGTTTGTGTATTCAGGGTGTGTGGTCTCATTGGAAGCGTGGTAGAATTTTGATTCAATATAATATTTTCATTAATATTTCTCAAGTATTTCGTTACTGGATATAATGACGTAGTATTGTGGAAATAAATGACGGTCCGATTAATTTTTGATAATGTCGTCATGTTATTGGACGTTTTAAATAAATTACTGTTAATGTTTGTATGTTCATCATAAATATTTTTGTTTAAGTTCGTTGAGGACTTTAATTCTTTCTTTTCTGAAATATTTTCAAGTGGCTCTTCTGTACTTGTTATTAAAACCTTATTATTATAATTATTTAATGATACATTCTGTACAGTTTGTGTTGTAAGTTTATCAAATGTTTTAAACGGTGTTATATTGTATGGAACTGTATGTGGTTTTAAAGTCACCAAGTTCATAATAGAATTAGTTGATATTTCTTGTCCAAAACCATTTACCGTTGTAAGTTGTTGTGGCTTCATTGAAGTCTGATTATAATTAACAGTACTTCTATTCTGTTCGGTTTTCGATTGTGTTACTTTTCTATTTACAACACTATTATTTTCATCCTCACTAGTATTATTTTGTACTAACATTCCTTCTACAGTTAGTCGTGGTTCATCAGTGATTTCTGAACTTGACAAGTTGTTATTATTAAGGAAAATAACAGTTGTATTATTGTTAATTCTAACATATGACGGTGATGTTGTGAAAAAGTTCTCATTTAGTAGAATTTTGTTATCCACAGTACCATTGGTATAACTATTTCTTATTTCTGCTATAGTCCTTGAATTTACTGAAGATGGCGGTTTAACTGTTATGTAATTTATTAAACTCTGATCATCATTTCGTATTGATTTCAATGTTTGTTTTGTTAATGGTATCACGTCTGTTGGCTGATATTTTGCTGAGACGTGAGTGGAAGTTGTTTTTGGAGTAGTTGGTGACGGTCTCATTGTAACAGATAATATTTCATTATTTACATCATCTGTTTTATTATTCTTGATAATTTTCTTCTCATAAAGTGTAAAACTTATGCCTGTGGTCGAAGAAATATTATGTAATTTGGGATTTTCAGTATGTTTTCTTCTACTATGCATATTGATATTGTCAGTTAATAAGTAACGTTCCACCTCTTCACTATGACTTCTTGTTAAATAATCATTCGGTGTTGATTTGTTAGAAATATATTTTTTATTAGTTTCTATATTACTGTTGTTCATGATTAAGGCATTGTTATCGTTATGTCTTTTTAACAATGGTTTATTAGTGTGCACTCTTTTTATTACTTGAAATTCATTCAGTCGCTCTCCGCTGTGATAAGGTACAGTGACTAAAATATTGTTTATTTCTCCAAAATTATACTCGGGTGAAATAAGTACCGTATTAATTACATAGTTTTCACCAGAAAGAGGTGTTTTTTCTTCCGTAGATATTGTGTTTACGGTTGGTACAGTAAGGGCCGGCAAGACTAAGTTTTGTTCAATTATATTTTTGTCTAAAATCGTAACATTATTTATGGCTTGAGTAACATGTGTGCTTGTAGTATTAATGGTTTTTGTAACCGTTGAAAGATGCGTTGATTTTGGGAAGGCAAAACTTTTTAGTGGAATAATATTATATTTTATTTCAGTATCTCTATGTTCTGGTGGTTGTGTTGAATTTTTTTTGTGCTTTTTATCGAAAAATTTTATTTTATTCATATCTGTTGTATTTTTCATATCAGAGAATAATTTCTCATTTGTGCTAGTTTTGTACGAAATGAAAGGGTCAGTCATTGAGAGCAGTTTAGGGTAAAAGATGTCAGAAGTTTGTGGCTTAGAAATCATTGTACTCAATAAACCACTTCCATTTGAAGTGCTTCTTAAGTTTGTATACGTTCCTTTATAATCTTTTGTATTGAGAAGAATGTCGTACAGCGAAAGTGTACTCAACGGATTTTCATTAAATTTATTTGTAGGAATATCGAACTTTGTGGTTGAATGTAAGTTATTATTTGAACCAAATAATTGGAAGTCACTTGAGTTGTTTTCTTTAAATGTGACCGGAAACAGTGAAACAATATGCTTACTTTCCATGGCAGTTGTAAACATTTCTGACAGGTTTTTTAATTTGCTTACAACTATTTGATTTTCGCTCTCTTGCTTTATAGACCTCTTAAAGTCAGTGCTTTCGTGGTAGGTCAGATTAGAGTAAGGTGATGTGGAATAAAGTAAATATTTGTTTTTTCTTACAGTTGGTTTGATATAATTATTATCTAATAAGCTTGTAACATTTCTTATGTTTTTAACTGTAGTAGTATCTGTTGCTTTATTTTTCATATTAATAATTTTATTTATAGAAGTTGGTTGTATATTTGTGTATAGAGATGGATTTGTCACTTTCATTGTTGTGGTTTCGGTTGTTTCGTTTTTATTAGTATATTTCTTCGTCTTTAATGTATTATTTTTTTCTTTATCGGAATACTTTTTAGTGGTTAATAATTGTGTTTCTTTCACTCTAAAAATATTGTTATACTTGCTTGTGGTAGGTGGCAATGCATTTGATATTTTTTCTACTATCTCATTACTTAGTTTTCGTTGATTATTTTTTGTGGGTTCTGAATTATACATAAAACTTTTTGAATTTTTTGTAGATATCGTAGTTTCTTCAATCTTTATCTTAGGGTACTGTTTTGTATATAAATTATCTCGAATTGATAATTTTTTTGTTAAATTGTAAGGTAAATCTATTATTGATTTGTCTGTTTTTAAGGTTTTCCAAAAATCTCCGTCAGATTTATTTAAACTCTGGGTAAAAGGTCGTTTTCTTTTGGAAAAGTCTTGCACATTTTCTTTTTCGTCTTCAAATATGGTATTCGAATAGTTCTCAGTTTGAGGTAAGGCTGATATATTTAGTGGACTTTTAGTAGTCAAATTCAAAATCAAGTTAAATTGGTCAGTAATATTTGTGACAGATTCTGTTAAGGTACTTTTATCTTCTGAATTATTATTTTTTTCCCTATGGTTGGGTATATTAGTAGAACTATAAACGGTAAAGAGTTTTTGCTCTGTTGTTTTTGAAGAAGATAAGTTTTTCAATGAGTGATCTGTCGGTTCATGAGACCACATCGAAGATTCTGTTGTCTTTGTTAGCTTTTGTGTTATATCAGAATGGGTTGAAGTTTTGAACTTAATCTGTTTTGTACTTATAGTATTATGGTTTGTAGGTAAATTTGTATAATTAAGTCGTTCTGTTATATGTGTAGATGGATATTTATATACAGACCTCGGTAATGATGTTGTCTTTCCAGTTGTCAATACCGGATCGTTGTACGTTATTCGATTTTCGATGTCTTTAATATCATATCCAAGGTTCCGCAGAGATTCTTCATTTATCATATTTGTAGATGTGAGGGTGTTCAGACTACTAGTAGGTCGTGAAAAATCATTGCCAATTGTTATTTCATTATCAAATGGCAATTTTATGTCAAATATATGCTCACTCATATTTTGCTTTTCATAATGATCACTAGTAGTACCGTCATTAGAATTTTTTGTTGTAAATAAGGGCTTAGTGGTGTTTGCGATATGATCGTCATTTTGATGTATTTTTTTCCCATATTGTTTCACGAGTAGTTTTATTTTAGAAACGATTTCATTTAAATGTCCTTCTATGTTTTTGTCGGTCGATGTTTGATGTTTATTTTCTGATGCATTATTTTCATATATAATTTGATTCTTACATGATTTTAACAAGGTGCTGTTCTCGCAGCACGGGTTGGGGAATTCTTTGAATTGTTTAGAAGATATCGTATCGATGTATATTTTGATCGTTCCTTTCCTTCTTAATAGTTTGAACACTTTAACATCATTTGTTTTCATGCTCTCGATAAGAAAAAGGTATATGGAAAACAGGTCACACTTTCTCACGTTAAATACTTTTGATTTCATACTGTTTTGTTTAATATAAATGCCATTTAATATGTCTATATCTATCGGCGTGTCATTAGCTAGTGTTTCATTAATTTCATCTTCAGTAACGTTCCTTTGTTTCATCTCAACTTTAGTTTTGTTCTGTTGTGGATACAATGTTATTATTACAATGACTCTGTGCTCGTCTTTATTCTTCAATGTCACATCTTTATTAAATAAATTGTGTTTTTCTATTCTGTATTTGTGATGATCGTTGTTTCTTATAAATGTGTTGAATATAATTTTCTTCATTGAATCCTTCGTGTTATCATCAATAGATATTATATTTCCATTCGCAGTTGAATCATTATCTTGTCTCTGTTTGTTTTCGTAGTTATTTTCTAGTTCGTGTCTTCGTATTTTGTTGACTATTTCATGTCTTAAGTTGATACACGTATTATTGTATATCTCTTTGTACAGATTTATATCTTTTCCTAGTTTTTCATCTTCTAAGTGCAGAGAGTTGGCATCATCCATAAATATCTCCTGTTTCTTGTGTAATGTCTCATGCATACACGCGCACACACTTTGTAATAATTTCAAAGTCACGTCAAATAAGTATGTATCTGAAGTCGGGGCGTCTATTGATTGTAACACTTTCAACAGTAAGGAATTGTCACTGATGTTTGGTTTATGAAACTCGACTAGACCACGACACTGTGTGATGATGCTCACAATACATAAAAGTAAATATATTTTCGTTTTATTTGAAATCATTTTGGATGTAAATTTGATTTGACGCTGGGATCGACTCGTGGCGGCATGTTTTGTTTGATATCGAGCGACGTAAATGGAGAAACAATGAGTTCCGTTTGAAGGATTTGTTTTGAGTTATGAATTGTAAAGAAAAAACCGATAAGGAGGCGTATCGCGTTACACCTTTTAATGCTAACGGAAAAACCATACGTTCACGTAATTTTTTAGACTTTGAAAGTTTTTCCTTAGAATAATGGGATTTTTTTGATACAAATTATTACATATTATCAGTAGCCTTTCTTTCATGAACTTTCGATATATATGATTAAAAATTAATTAATTTTTATATTCTTGTAAATGTATGTAGGTATTCATTTCTGCAGAAACGGACACAATGCTAATAATAGATACTGTAAGAGTTTCATCGGTTGTAACTATTTTCAACAACAGAACCTTCTCTCTTACAACGAAGAATCAAATACGAGTATTGTTACATTTATTTTGTTTGTTATTACTTCCAACTTTTGAAATCAAATCAAATAAAGGAAGAAAATTTACCGTTAAACTAGATTCAGAGGAAAATCTTTGTTCATTTTGTACTTCAGATTGTCTCTGACGTAATTTGTACTCATTTTAATTAATTTATATACATTATTTAGTGATTTACGAACTCCTTAAAAGCATTCAAAAGAATTAACAAATCTCAATATGGATAAGTAACATTTAAGGAAGACAAATATACGTAAATAAAATAGTAAAATCTATAATTAGCTTAAAAATATACCGTTAAAGTTATTATATTAAAATAATGTTTCTATACAGCTTTTAACAGTTTTACGAGCAGCTAACTTAGTTAAAATACACTTGATTTCTTACCCAATTAATCATTTCTTTCTGTCGTTCCAGAAGTACGTTCTGCATCTTTGGTCCGAGGTCCTCTGCGAACTTCTTAACGATCTCCTGGGTCTTCTGTAGCTGTTGCTGGTTCACTATGACGGCCGCGAAGTCCAAGTATGAGTCCAGAGTAGCTTGGAGCTCGGGCACTGGCAGCTTGGCCACTTGGACGTATTGCTTTAAGACAAAAAGAACAAATTCATTTAAGCAGAGTAGAAGACTTCATTAGACTTCCATCGAAGCTAGAAAATTCTGATTATCTAGATGTAAGAATGTATATAAGTCGTGTTTGAAGGGAGACTATAGTGTCTTAAATTATAATTACATAAAACTGTATATGTAATAACATATGTACATATGTATTAGAGTAGTTCGTACTGCATACAAAGTTTAGTTTACAAACACCGAATAAATATTGATGATATACTTTGTAAATGGACTGGTAAATAAATTATTGTTCTTAGGCGATATTATCTCAGAGAAACGGACACACTTCAAGTATAGTATCTTATATAATAAACAAAACTCATTACTAATACATTTTGAGCATCATTGCTTTTACCTCAACTATATATAAGATATATTGTAATATGCAATGTTTTATAATGTCGCTACTTCTCTAGAGAAATTAATGTATCGACGAAAATATACCTATAAAAATAGGTTAGTAATCGGCCTATCAGAGCCCACTTCTGAGTAAAAGTCTCTTCTCACATGGAGAAGGTTTGAGCATTAATCCACCACGCTTGCACCATGGGTTGGCGATATTAAACTTATAATTGTGAAATTATAAGTCCAGGTTTCCTCACGATGTTTTCCTTCACCGTCTTTCAGTGGTGTCTAAATACTCTTAGAAAGTACATATGACTCGGAAAAATCACTTTGGTAGTTGCCAGACTTTTACTTAAAAAAAAGGTTACTTTCCACCAAATAAATAATACATAGCCAAAAAACATCTACACTAAAAACTGTCCGTTTGCAAGTCAATAATTACTACAAATATCAGATTTCGTCGTAAGTAATCACTTAAAATAATTATATTTTACTAAAAGTAACATAGTGTCGGAATATTACTCACGGACTCACTTTTGTAACTAGTTTTTCATCTAGTAAATAAGGTTTCTTGAACCTTTTCAACACTCCTGTTGAGTTAACAAGTACTATGCTTCCCATTATAATGACTTTAGATAAAAATTAATCAATAGTAAAATAACGTAATAATAAAAGCAACAGATGCACATCAACTGCCGCTACAGACCAGGAAAGCTGATATTTATTTTACTATAGAATTAATAATTCAACATACTTAACATATATAATATGATAGTAGACATTGCATGTCTGTACATTAAATAGTTTAGAGAAAATTTTGTGTCTCTTGTTCATAGTGAATAATTAGTAATAAACAGTTTAAATATGTACTAATACTGGTCTTATTATAACCCAGACGTACAAACACCGAACAATTCTAGTAAAGAAGTCTAGTGTACTGAAGAAGTCTAGTAGTAACTAAAAAAAAAATACTAGTTATTTGTTTAAAAATCACGCTTTACTTTACATTAATGTGTATAATAAACACAAAGCAAATATGTAAATTATTTTGAGTTTAAAATAAATATAAGTTTGAAATACTTTAAAGGGTTTCAATTCTCCATATCTTTTGAAAGTCAATAATATATTTAATACTATTTTCGAAACTAAACAATCATGATAATAATAAAAAGAAACCTTTTGTACACTGAAGACATAATAAAAGTTATGATTTCACAGCATTTAGATTAAAAAATATTATTTGATTACATTTTTTATATAAAATAAATGTCAAGTATCTGTTTATAAAGACAAAATATAATGAACGAACTCCCTTCATGTTACTATTGTGAAGACATGGAGCGTTCTCATTACACAAATAACACGATTTTATTAAAAGGAATATAAGTTTATTTGTCTCCATTTTGTTAAACAATATTAGCTCAATAACTAATTGCATTTATATAAATTTTAACATAATAAATTAAAAACTTAAATCGTTTTGGAAAACTACATTGCCAAGCTCTTAATTTCATCACTACTCCGCAACTGGTGACCATGGAACATGCGGTAGAAGGACGAAAAAAAGTCAATGAAATGAAAGTATTAATTAACAGAAGATGACGTCTTCCTCGTTAAATATTTCATTAATTCAGAAACGAACACGCGGGCAACAACTAGTATTGAATAAAAAATTACGCACTCTCAATCAATATTACGAAGGCTTTAATCATTGTGTCATAGATAGGTACATTTAATTTAAAATAATTATATGTCATGCAGTACCTAGCGCATTAAGAACCTTATAAATCATTAAGTATAAGGAAGATCACAACTAAATTGTTCAATCTTATTCATCGTATTTACCCTGGGTCTGTTTTAATTTTGTATATATTTACCTGGTAGTCTTCCTCGTCTCCATACCCCTGGGTACTCAGCCATTTCTTCGGCAGTGACAACAGCGACTCTCCCCATGCTAAAACATAAATAAATTTTAATGATTTCCACTTAAATAAACGCTTGTAATTGCTTGTTATTTTAACTAAAAGATATAAAAACTGTTAATGTAATCCGGGTCTAATCTATTTGTACATCAGTCTACAGTTGGATTAGAGACACATTAGTTCATAGCGCAATATCCTGTTAGAAAATTGAAGCTGGCGTAGAGATTTGGAAGCGATCTGTTTACCGACTAGTTGACTTATTGATCCACATGTGTGACTCCTCACTATATACATTGTATATAATGTATGTACCTTTAGATTTGTTGACCAACTGATCGAGAGATCAGTTGACTGGCACTTTTACCTATACGATATTTCTACATATACACATCTATTTTCCATATTTGACTTTAGTTTTATAACACGGATTATTTTTATAAAATGTAAGTAGCAGTTTAATCTTTCGGCAATGATTTGAAATAAACCAGATATTATTAAAGTGTATGAATGTGAGCCAGACCTATCGAGCTGGTAGATCAAGTAATTCTGTAATAATTTATTATAAGTATACTACACATATATAAATACATATATGGTATATAAAATATATTATCAGTGAACTGTATGCGGGTCGACAGTGAGTGATAGTCTCCTGGGGATGAGTGTACGTTACAACTAACAACTTACAAGTATATTAAGATATGTATACATGGTATATAGGCATTACTTTGAATAGTAGTAGTAGTAGAATATTGCTTACAATTGCTTATTATAAAGAAAATCTTCGCATTTATTTAATATATTGACAATCACCCATCAAGAACAAAGACTCAATATTAGGATTGTCTGTATTGCTTAAAGCCTTTCAAGATGTAGTATCCTCTCTGTATGTATGACAGTAATCTCGACAAGTTTCCAAATTGAATCCTAAATTTCATTCAGTGTACGTCTCAGACGCTCCTCGTCTTTCACTTGAAACCCATTACCGTTTTCCTTATATCGAATTTTCTTTTGAACACGGAAAGTACACCTTTAGAGAAGTAGAAAATTTAGGTTTCGTCTAGAATATTGAATGTAAAAACTATTAGGAATTACAAAAGCAGTTTGTTTTTAATGTTGTATAATGTCATTGATTACCATAGCCCATGTTTATCAACTTCTTTTAAATACATACAATTAGAGGTATTAATCAAATTACATTGTACACCTTGTGAATTAATTATATTATTTTCCTGTTCAAATATCTTGTTAACGCGAAACTGTTTAAGTTATTTACATTCTTCTTAAACAATATATAAGTTTTAAGCCGAAGATTCAATAACAGACTACTTTTCATTTCATAAATTTCTATAATGAGATTCAAATATTTAATCAGAAGATAAAGGTAAAGTGTAATGGAACATAGTACATATAGACCGTTTAATTCTCAAGGCTGTATTAAAAGTTACGAATAGTAATATAAATAAGGAATTAGTAAAGAAATGAAAACCAGAACGCGCCTTACATAAAAATATGCTAATAATTTTCACACCAATTAAAGGTATCGTATAGAATAAAGAAGCTTTTTATGTATCACTAATTCCACCATCTACTAAACTATTGATCCTAATTTTACCCGAATATTCAAATATAGTTACTCCCACGCACACACACACACACACGCACACTAAAACTCATGTTAAATCGTCAACCATACATAATAGTTTAACGGCTGTCTCATAGTAACATAGTGTATATTAGTTACTAAGCAATCATAATGACTAAACTGAGGAATATATTTATAATACAATATTATGAGGTAATTGAGGTAAATAATTGTATGAATAAAAAGATTTGTATACATGTTATAAGAATAAGGAAACAAATAAGATGGTAATTAAGAATTAATATTTTAACCCGGCACAGTGTCCAATTTCTCACTATAATTAAATAACTATATATATGTATTATTCCATCTATATATAAGTTCAGCTTAAATAAAAACAAATAGTTTCTAGCGATTCCTCTTGTTTCATGTAAAATATATTTATATTCCCGTCATTCAAATTCCATTAGCACCAGACGTGTGAAGCGACACCCCCCAAAAAAACCCCCATTAACCCCCCATTAACCCCCCCCTCCTCGCGTACCCCCTCCCCCCCCCCCCTCTTCCCCTCCTCCCAGTCCCCCCCTCAGGTGTGGTTTCCCACGGGGCTCGCGTCTCTTCTTATTTCACTGTACCAGCTCCTGATGTATCACGTACAACATGATGTAAGTGTTTAGATTATATCAATACATACAATGATATTAAGATAGAATGAGAAACTCATTAATATATATTGGAGAAGAAATCTGTTTTATAAATTACATAAATAATATAATCATTTGTTGAGTAAGAGACCAGATACTAAATAGTATTTATAAATAAAAATTTACACTTTAATAAAGCAGGGAAGGGAACAAAGAAGTAATTTATAATGTACACTTACGACTTCTAACACAATCTAGACAACTTACTAAAGTGTTTTTCATTATCAACCAGGTTCCTTGTACCGTTTATTCCTTGATGTATAAACTACTACTCATACTAACAACAAATTCTAAAAAATCTACAAAATGACTCCTATATGTTTTAATATATTTATTTACCGACGACTACACTGAGCGGACTCACTAATGACATTATTACATCCACTGAACATTACTGAAACTAAATGATTGTTAACTAAAGTTCAATTTAAACAACAAAGTCTTTCATGTGATGTAACAGTAATGAGTAACGCTGTAACTGTAGCTAATATATTGAACTGATAATGAACTCTTGTTATGAAAGAAATTACCGATTAGAAGCTATTAGACACGGTAATCATTGTTTAATAGATTACCGTACTGATTTATGTGTTGTTACTAAAGGTGTTCTGTAGTGTACTTCGATACATTTTACTTCACACACATAACATTAACTGAGCTTTTAAAGTCTGTCACTCTCTGGGCTATAGAGTCGGACGCCGGTCAGATATTTTTAAGTAATTATATTAGTCAACCCCATCGCCGACTGGGAGTATATGGAGAGAACACAGTGAGAGAAGAAGCGGCGTACAATGTATACTTTATACAGGTCATGTAAAGAGTGAGAAAGCAATTATATTAAACCTAATATGTATAATATAATCTCCGCTTGTAACATATACCTTATTATCTTTTTTCGCCAAAAACAATGCAAAACTTCACTCTGCCCTTGAAGCTTTAAGGAGTACCTTTGTTTATAATTATAAAGGGTGCATTATTACATCTAATTTCGTGATGATTGAGATTTCCTTAACATCAGTTCGATGTATTTCTGACACAACGAATGTTCTCAAACATAATGGTCATATAAATTCCATTTAAACCAATAATAAAATATTAGGTATCTTTTATTTAACCCACAGTCAGACAGTAATGTAACTAATATTGTATTTTAAGTGTGTTTTATTCTCAGTAATCCGCTGTCGCTCGCTTCGTCTCCGTGTCCTCACCAGAACCCTGTCCGTAGTCATGACAACACAGGTGTGCGCGGATCGATACACACACACAGACACACATACACACACACACACACAAAAGTAAAGGTGTGTAATAAAAAGTAAATAAAATGTTCCTGAAACGTAATAATTTTTTTTATTACTAAGTCGATAATCATGAGTTATATGTGAATGTTTTTATATAATAATCTAGATTCTCTTTACAGATATTAAGGTTCAGTAAGTGTGTGAGTGAGTGTGTGTGTGTGTGAGTGAGTCAGGTAGAGCTTCATGTAACAGTGTGTTCATGGTGTCTGTACTAACAGCAGACATCGCCTCATTATAATATTATATATTGTCTCTATAACAATGAACTTCAAATAAATTCAAGTTTTTCCTTGAAGTATGAACGTATATCGTATTAACTTTTTTCTTTTTATGTTCCGACTTTCAACATTTTCTTTTAATTCTTTATATAAAATCTATCATTAAAGTACATTTACAATCTCTATATTATACATATAAAATAATTTACAAGTTAGTCTATGTTACTTTTAGAGAATCTCAAAAAGTATTTCAACCATAACAAAGTAACGGCCATAAGGGTGTCGTAGACGCTCTACGTCGTAACACCTCGTAGCACTTCTACGACGTAGCTACATATAAAACTTTTGTATAGCGGTGATAAAGACGAAACTTACAATATACTAATGAGTTCTGTTAAATAGAATACAATATATAGAAATACTTTTAAAAGAAAAAATAAAGATGCTTTAATTGTATGAATAATATAAATGTTTAAATGTATTAAAGGCTCATATCATATCATATCATAGATCTATCACTAAAAAGTACAGAACCTGTTTATAATAAATCTTGTATTTAGTCAGCTCTTTAAATATTTATCTGCTCGTTAATATGTTATTATATTTTCGTTTCCTCCGCCCGCCTCAGTTCCCGCGGGACATACAGCCTGCTCCGGGTCACACAGCCTTAAACTTCTCATATATATAATATACAAGTCATATAACATGGATTATATTCAACTCTATCATTAATTCAGTATAATTAATCATTTCTGAAAGATTGTATAATATGTCAGTTGTATAATATGTCAGTCGTATAATTGGTCACTTGTATAATTAGTCAGCTGTATAATATATCATCTGACTTAAGTCAGTTATAGAAAACCAAAATATTTGTTGACTAACCAATTAAGTAAAAGAGCAAAATGAATCAAAATTTTATTAAATAAAAATTTATTATATTAATTTAAATAAATAAAACGAAATGACAAGCTATAAGTCAACCGTCGTTGGTCTTGTTGTATAAATGTCAGTGAAAACAATTTAAATGTAAGAACAACAATAAATAATCCTCTTCTAACAACAGAAGCCCGCTGACATCGATTGTGTTGAGGGTGCTGAGGGTGCTGAGGGTGCAGAGGGTGATGAGGGTGTTCTAATACGACACTTGACAATTACTCTCTGGTCGAGAGGGATCGTCCTCGTTCAAAGGGTTCTGTTGGAACAGGGTCAGTATTTGACTC